CTGTTTATGAGATTCTATCAAGTATTCCAAACAAGATAGAATAATCTTTATTACCAATATAGAATGTATGCTAGTGAGTGGTAATCCAAAATATCTAAGTTTTAAACAGACATCGGGGATAATTATTCATATACTCTTTTGCATAAATTTATTCCTAATATTTTTATTTGATTCATTAAACACCTCAGGTAACCACCAAGAAGCTGTTATCGGCTGGAAATATGTTATTAAAACGGCGTGGAATACTGCCTCGAGTTATTGACTGTTTTTCGGAATGTAAATGCACTTTGTTAATTAGAGCCAAAAAGCAGTGAACATCAATCAATAGATCCATGAACTCTCCTTATCACTCCAGTATATTGCTTTGTGATATACATCTAACTTCATCATAAATTAATTTACCATAAATGACTGATAAAGTCTAGCTTGTACCTACAAGGTTTAACTTGTGCAGAAACTTTCAGTTCCATTAGTCTATGAGTTTGCACATACAATATTCACGTTTTACGTATAGTTCTAAATTTTCAGTTATAACCTAACGTTAGATAACACGTCGATCGAGTAAAAATGCTCAAACATATTTTTTGGATATGTATCAGCCTACTTAATTCTCTATTTAAGTAGCAACACATAACCACAACTAATTACTCGTAACACCATTTTCAATAAGCTATTTAAATTGTTATATGGAATCTTTAGCTTTCACTTTCGATGTCATGCCCCAATTTTCTATTATAAATATATGTTTTTGGTATTCAGTTAGTAGATGAGTATTTTTTGAGCAAGTTAAAATAAACTCTTAGGAATATCATTTGTAGATGAAACATTTGTTTGAATGATAAAACTATATCTATGGTGGATTCAACAGGACACTTTCAAAACCTCTGAGCAGAGCGATCCTCTTAATACAAAAACTCAATGTAAGAGAACGTTTAAACGGAAAATATTTAACAGCATACTCAATGAAAATTAGATCTTTTTTCTTCAGCAAATTTTCTATCAAGTTCATTATGAATATGCTCTGTAAATCTTATTTACCAACTCACTTCAGTCTATTATTCTTTATGGGTCATAGGTCGCCGGCCAGAAATCACCAACCAACTCTGTCCTGGGGCATCCTTCCAAAATATTATCATTCTATTGATGTATATTTCTTTACACTTTACCTTGAGGATACCAAGTTACGGCTTAACTTTTGAAACAGCTTAATGGTTGCCAAAAACTGTCTTATCCACCTTCAGAATCTTGCAATAATTTCATTCTCATATGTAAACCAGTTTGTTCTATGACACAGTAAATTACTGCTTATGGTTTCTGATCATTGCGTCTGTAGACAGCTACTTACAAATACCTGTACCTTAGATAAAAATTGTGATAGTCCTCCATATTTCAGCTCCATAGAACACATATATCTCGACATTCATATCATAAAAGTTTCCTTTGGCGCTAGCTGAAAGTTTTTTTGAGTGCCAGATATTGTTTGATTGAACGAGTGATTACGTTTTCATACAAACCAATGCCTCTACACCTCAATTGGACCCCCTTTATAAATAATGCTGGACAGAAATGCATAGTATTCAAAGACTTATAATGAGTATTGCCATCTAAGTCAGTGAATTTAAATCCGACGGTTCATATATTTCAACTCTCACTATGATGATCTAATTAAACAATTATTAAATGACTTAAAACGTGATAGGCTCATCAGTCTGTGAATTGACTGGATTTGAAGATGGACCATTAGGTCTTGACTCAGTGGAATAATGACTGTTGCAACACATCAGTATCATGAGATTGATGTCAACTGGTGTCGTAAGTGAATACTTTTGTAGGATATGACTGTCTAGAATAAAAGTTATCCAGTAATTCCAGGCTCTTGGTAGAAACATTTATCACATGATAAGAATCCTTCAAAGACAACTGAATGAAAAATAGCTTTCAACATAATAACTACTGTGGCTTTACTGAGACACTTTGTATTAAATCTTTCCTGTTTATATTGGGTACTAAATGATGAGACATTAGAAGGAAACTGTCTTAATAAAACATGAGATGGATAATTCATGATTTCTTGAAAAGGTATTTTATTTGAATAACGTTACGCTACTCATTAGTAGTAAGAATTTTATTGTGAAACATAGTCAATCGGGAGACTGAAATGATCATTCACACGGAACTGTCCAGAACTTTGTGAATAAACACTGATTATATTAAACGAACGAACGGCTTTTCTGATCGTCTGTACGTTGTATACACTTGAGTCTGCAAAATTAACTTCTGATATAACATAGCCGACTCATTTGAGTTACTTAGTTCATGATAAAATGACTGAATACTTGAAGTGACTGGCTAAACCATGGGAAATTATTAATGAAATGTAAGAAGTGAGGAAAAATTCAAACCTGTCCCGATTTTAAACTACTTTATTAAAAAAACAAGGATATTGTACAACGATTAATTTCGAAATAACTTACAATATACTTTTTTGGTTACCATCTAAGAACCAGATCGCGCATACATTCTCAGTACAAAAGAATATGTCTCACATCAAAACAGTAGATGCACAATCAATTGAAGTAATGGATCATAGGTGAAAATGTTAGTTATTACTTTAATTTCAAGAGCTGAAATTTACTTAAATAATATTCACCCTTCCATTCCAAATAATCTCATTAAATGTTTTTTTAAATGAACATTACTGAGGTTTTATCTTCAACTACATAATGTCGTGAGATAATGGGTTTTACTGAATATTAGCTGGTGATGACTGAGCATGCTGCTCAAGAACCTAAAGAATGTTGAGCTGTATGGCGACGATGTAGTGGTGTACAGCCGAAAAGAAGCGGATCATGTTAACCATGTGGAAGCTATCCTAAAGCGAATTGAAGAATTCAGACTACGAATTAATATGGACAAATCACAAATAGCGAAAAGTAGTGTCATCTTTTTGGGGCATAAAGTTGGAAATGGAGAAATAAAACCGTTGCCGGAGAAAATACTAGCCATAAAGAACATCGCGGTACCTAATTCCAAAAGGAAGCTGAGACAGTTTCTTGGAAGGGCGGCGTTCTACAGTCGATTCGTCAAGAACTTTAACGAAGAAGCTGCACCCCTCCATAAATTGTTAAGCGACAATAAGTTTACGTTGACAGAGACTGCCCAGCAAACGTTCGACCGTATCAAAAACCTATTGGCGACCGCCGGATGACGCTACGATTACCGGAACCGGAAAAACTGTTTACACTGACAACAAATGCGAGTGACCGTGGAATATGCGCCGTCTTAAGTCAATCTAACAGTGTGATAGAATATGCGAGTCGCGTTCTCACACCCTCTGAGCAGAAGTATTCAACGATCGAAAAAGAGTGTTTAGCGATTGTCTGGGCAATAGAAAAATGGAGACCATACCTTCTAGGTAGGCGGTTCCACAATCAAGTGTTCATCAAGCCTATCCACTCTCTCCATTTCTGTTTAACTTTGTCTTAGATATACTTTTAGTGTTAATATTATCTTCGTCTGACTTTTCAGGGGTGGACCTTCTACCAGGAGACGACACGCTTGCAGACTTAGAGTATGCTGATGACATAGTCCTATTCGGTGAACATGCTGACAAAATGCTGAGTCTTCTGACTACTCTAAGCAACAACGCAAGCATGTTCGGGATGCGGTTCTCTCGTCGAAATGCAAAATGTTGCTTCAGGATCGACTTATATCGACACATGGACTCGTGATAGGGAGTGAAGTAGTTGAGCATGTGGACCGCTTCACTTATCTCGGGAGTTTTGTGGTGTAGGAGTAGGTAGGAAGAAAGCTAGTGGCGGCTAAACCAAAACATGATAGAAACCCATGAAGTCAATGACAAGTGGACTAAGTCATGTTGGTAGATGTAGACTACGTGGTTGGAGTCCGCCAGACGAAAGTCTTCGATGGCTAGAGACCTTGAACGACATGGCTGAAAATCGTTTGCGATGGCACAGGTGCATTCATTCATTGTGATCTCTCAAATTCTAATCTTCTGAGTTCCTCATCATCTTTATCTTTCTAAAGCTATCTCACTAAATTATACTTCTTGAATAGTTTCTTCGAACCCTAATCTTCTCCATTACTGCTAATACTTCTACTATCGCTATCACTCTTGGATTTGAATTGACAGTTGCGTCTCTGTGCTAATGTGGTATGGCAACCTGAACTGATGTACTTACGTACGAAGTTGTTACGCCTTACTTAAACACGTCATTTTCATATACTTGAACTATTACGAGTTTACCTTAGTCGGACTACGAGAGCGAGGATCCTGTGACACGACATGCTACTCAAATCCGATTATCCCAACTACAATATTGAGTAAAAATAAGAAAACTTGATATGAAGTGGAGCATGTATTCTACAAGCATCCAGAAGTTACGAGATCCGAGTCCAGAAGAGGATCAGGATCCCGGACTAGGGATCCGGGTCCTGGTCATAGAACGCTACAGATAATGCGTATCTATACATTTAGATTGAATAGGAAACATCGTCGAAGTCTGTGACACTGACAGTTAAGTAGACCAATAAGAAACAACAATTGAAGTGACATTGAAATTCAGGATGACCAATAAGAAACAAGATCGGAGCACGTGACATTGATATCTAGGACGACCATAAAATTGACCAGTAGAAATTAACTAACAGGAATTGACCTATAATTCTCTAAGGATATTGGATGAATATCCCAACAGAAGTTCTACGTTGTAACTGACTGACTGAACAGCCAGCTTTGTGTTGACTGTTTGACTTAAATTCGAATATGGTGTTTATTTCCAACGAATATCGACTTGACTAAGGACAGGATACGACGAAAAGCGCATCCTGGATTCCATTGCTAGCCAAAATGGAATGTATAATACAAACCCGAAAAAGTAGTGCCAACCGTATATTACGGTTATTTCGCCCAATAAATGTTTTTACCAATAAAGAAGTAAACTAAAAATTTTAAAAATTATATTAAAATCCATTTTAAGAAATTAAAATAATCGTTAGAGAAAATAAAAATAAAGTTATCGATTCGATAGAGGTGTAAAATATTTACAAATAATCAATTAACACTTGGGAAAAGGAAGTAAACGATATTCAGCAGCACAATCCAAAAGCCAAGTGCATGGTACCGACTGAAGAGGTGGTGGTAAATCGTTTGGTAATGAGTTTAATGTATTTGCCGATTTCTTCGGTTTGATTAAATTAAGTGCCTTAGTAACAGCTTCCACAGCATATATGGATTTGCTAGATGACTCATTTTTAGTTTTGTTGTAAACACCCGGATCATAGAAGACAAGCAAGGAAGAAGGATTGTTTGAATCAATCATGGTGATTTCATCGATAAATGAAATATTCTCATTAGCCTCTTGGTCAGACTCTTTGTTCGCTTCTACGGTATTTAAATCCCAAATAGATGAGTTATTTGGAGACTCTACAGCATATCTTGCAAGTCGTACCGGAGAGCAAACGTCACGACTAAATACTACACTTGCTCCTCCAGATCGTGCTAATCGAGTAAGCTCATCTCTGGATGGCACAGGATATACAAAATTTCCCTGTAAAAAAGAGACAGTTAGGCATCACTTAAATTAGAAAGGATACTCAAAACAGAGAATTGATTCTATAAAGCAATTCATCTAGTGACATATAAAATTCCCTATTCAATATCTTTATTGAACTTAATTATCTCTCATATAACCGTCTATTTATTGCAAATATTTAGAAAACTAAGTAAATAATATTCAACACGAGATCCAATAAGCTCTAATTTTCGAAATGTATTAACTATTTAATCAAAATGTTGTATCCTTAACCGTTGTCTAATATCACGTGACAATTACGAAAAACCATTGAGAATCACGCCTTAGCACCAGAAAACCTGAGTCACCTCTAAATCCTTTTTTGGTCCACAACTCGATAGCTTCTTCCTTTCTACTCTGACTATCAGTCCAGAACCAGCAAGCATTCGTTACCTACAAAGCTGCTAAAATGTGCAATACTGTTTCAACTACTTAATAATTATTCAGTATTGGGGCACAGTTTTGGAGGTTTGCGTTTTTACACATTTGAAATCATTAATCAATCATCATTGTTAGACCACCATTAGAAACCTGGAAGCACTGGACGGCCGTTTCGTCCTAGTATGGGACTCCTCAGCAGTGCGCATCCACGACTCCTGCTCCTCGCAGGATTCGAACCCGGGACCTTTGGCATTGTAGGCGAACGCCTTACCATCGGACCACTGGGCCGGCATCCAACGGTGTTAATGTCTAACTCTGATTGATCTAGGGATTTTGCGCGACCTCACCCATTTGTCTTTGGTAGTTACTGCCTACACCCGACAGGGTTGAACTCCACTGGTCACGTCTTCTCAACTAGAACTCCGAGAATTTCCTCACGAAGCTAGTCACTAGTGAGCACTGTTACATTATATTGGGGCACAGTTTTGGAGGTTTGCGTTTTTACACATTTGAAATCATTAATCAATCATCATTGTTAGACCACCATTAGAAACCTGGAAGCACTGGACGGCCGTTTCGTCCTAGTATGGGACTCCTCAGCAGTGCGCATCCACGACTCCTGCTCCTCGCAGGATTCGAACCCGGGACCTTTGGCATTGTAGGCGAACGCCTTACCATCGGACCACTGGGCCGGCATCCAACGGTGTTAATGTCTAACTCTGATTGATCTAGGGATTTTGCGCGACCTCACCCATTTGTCTTTGGTAGTTACTGCCTACACCCGACAGGGTTGAACTCCACTGGTCACGTCTTCTCAACTAGAACTCCGAGAATTTCCTCACGAAGCTAGTCAGGAGCAGGAGTCGTGGATGCGCACTGCTGAGGAGTCCCATACTAGGACGAAACGGCCGTCCAGTGCTTCCAGGTTTCTAATGGTGGTCTAACAATGATGATTGATTAATGATTTCAAATGTGTAAAAACGCAAACCTCCAAAACTGTGCCCCAATATAATGTAACAGTGCTCACTAGTGACTAGCTTCGTGAGGAAATTCTCGGAGTTCTAGTTGAGAAGACGTGACCAGTGGAGTTCAACCCTGTCGGGTGTAGGCAGTAACTACCAAAGACAAATGGGTGAGGTCGCGCAAAATCCCTAGATCAATCAGAGTTAGACATTAACACCGTTGGATGCCGGCCCAGTGGTCCGATGGTAAGGCGTTCGCCTACAATGCCAAAGGTCCCGGGTTCGAATCCTGCGAGGAGCAGGAGTCGTGGATGCGCACTGCTGAGGAGTCCCATACTAGGACGAAACGGCCGTCCAGTGCTTCCAGGTTTCTAATGGTGGTCTAACAATGATGATTGATTAATGATTTCAAATGTGTAAAAACGCAAACCTCCAAAACTGTGCCCCAATATAATGTAACAGTGCTCACTAGTGACTAGCTTCGTGAGGAAATTCTCGGAGTTCTAGTTGAGAAGACGTGACCAGTGGAGTTCAACCCTGTCGGGTGTAGGCAGTAACTACCAAAGACAAATGGGTGAGGTCGCGCAAAATCCCTAGATCAATCAGAGTTAGACATTAACACCGTTGGATGCCGGCCCAGTGGTCCGATGGTAAGGCGTTCGCCTACAATGCCAAAGGTCCCGGGTTCGAATCCTGCGAGGAGCAGGAGTCGTGGATGCGCACTGCTGAGGAGTCCCATACTAGGACGAAACGGCCGTCCAGTGCTTCCAGGTTTCTAATGGTGGTCTAACAATGATGATTGATTAATGATTTCAAATGTGTAAAAACGCAAACCTCCAAAACTGTGCCCCAATATAATGTAACAGTGCTCACTAGTGACTAGCTTCGTGAGGAAATTCTCGGAGTTCTAGTTGAGAAGACGTGACCAGTGGAGTTCAACCCTGTCCGGGTGTAGGCAGTAACTACCAAAGACAAATGGGTTGAGGTCACGCAAAATCCCAAGATCAATCAGAAGTTAGACATTAACACCGTTGGATGCCGGCCCAGTGGTCCGATGGTAAGGCGTTCGCCTACAATGCCAAAGGTCCCGGGTTCGAATCCTGCGAGGAGCAGGAGTCGTGGATGCGCACTGCTGAGGAGTCCCATACTAGGACGAAACGGCCGTCCAGTGCTTCCAGGTTTTCTAATGGTGGTCTAACAATGATGATTGATTAATGATTTCAAATGTGTAAAAACGCAAACCTCCAAAACTGTGCCCCAACTATAATGTAACAGTGCTCACTAGTGACTAGCTTCGTGAGGAAATTCTCGGAGTTCTAGTTGAGAAGACGTGACCAGTGGAGTTCAACCCTGTCGGGTGTAGGCAGTAACTACCAAAGACAAATGGGTGAGGTCGCGCAAAATCCCTAGATCAATCAGAGTTAGACATTAACACCGTTGGATGCCGGCCCAGTGGTCCGATGGTAAGGCGTTCGCCTACAATGCCAAAGGCCCCGGGTTCGAATCCTGCGAGGAGCAGGAGTCGTGGATGCGCACTGCTGAGGAGTCCCATACTAGGACGAAACGGCCGTCCAGTGCTTCCAGGTTTCTAATGGTGGTCTAACAATGATGATTGATTAATGATTTCAAATGTGTAAAAACGCAAAACCTCCAAAACTGTGCCCCAATATAATGTAACAGTGCTCACTAGTGACTAGCTTCGTGAGGAAATTCTCGGAGTTCTAGTGAGAAGACGTGACCAGTGGAGTTCAACCCTGTCGGGTGTAGGCAGTAACTACCAAAGACAAATGGGTGAGGTCGCGCAAAATCCCTAGATCAATCAGAGTTAGACATTAACACCGTTGGATGCCGGCCCAGTGGTCCGATGGTAAGGCGTTCGCCTACAATGCCAAAGGTCCCGGGTTCGAATCCTGCGAGGAGCAGGAGTCGTGGATGCGCACTGCTGAGGAGTCCCATACTAGGACGAAACGGCCGTCCAGTGCTTCCAGGTTTCTAATGGTGGTCTAACAATGATGATTGATTAATGATTTCAAATGTGTAAAAAACGCAACCTCCAAAACTGTGCCCCAAAATATCTTAACAGTGCTCACTAGTGACTAGCTTCGTGAGGAAATTCTCGGAGTTCTAGTTGAGAAGACGTGACCAGTGGAGTTCAACCCTGTCGGGTGTAGGCAGTAACTACCAAAGACAAATGGGTGAGGTCGCGCAAAATCCCTAGATCAATCAGAGTTAGACATTAACACCGTTGGATGCCGGCAAGCTCAGTGGTCCGATGGTTAGGCGTTCGCCTACAATGCCAAAGGTCCCGGGTTCGAATCCTGCGAGGAGCAGGAGTCGTGGATGCGCACTGCTGAGGAGTCCCATACTAGGACGAAACGGCCGTCCAGTGCTTCCAGGTTTCTAATGGTGGTCTAACAATGATGATTGATTAATGATTTCAAATGTGTAATTATTCAGTAGCCAAGCACCTAATCCTAATAGCTGTCGTGATAATAGTCCCAATCTGCACAGTGCGGATTTCTTATCCGAAACGTCAACTCACGTTCCACAAGGAAAGTCGTAGTCCCTAGTAATAATAAAGCATTACAACACTATGGCATTGCCTTAGACAACAAGCAACTCCGGGATGCTGACATCACATGCACGGTGCTGCAGTATTTTGTTTTCAATTGTTATTATTGTAAAAAAGATTCGTTTGGCAGAGTTCTGTATTCGATGAATTCGTTTTCAAAACTGTACAATCGTAAATATACACTTTTTTCACAATTAGATAATTACAATAATAGTGATCATAAAAATTTTTTTTAAACATGGTAATAGTGAGGTGAATTATATCAAGGGTATAAAACGTTATTTTGATTAAGGGAATTAAGAATAATGTTGTTGTTGCGGTGTTGAATGTTAATCAGGAGGATTGATAACAAATTATAATCGGAAAGGGAATGCTCAGTGTGATTATGTAAAATACTTAAATTGAGATGAACTGTAAATCAGGAGGATCATAGGAACATAAAAACAAAAACACACAGTGAGCACGTGAACTCTCTCTTTTTACCTCATTCACCTCCCGGTTGTTCATCCAGGGTTATTTAGCACCCCGTTCGTTGTTGTTTGAAGCGATGGAGATTCACGTGACTATCACTGGGGTCACCCACTTGGGTGCGTCAGGGTTTTTTTTAATGCTTCCTCAATGATCCCTCCTGATTATATAGCAGTTCAATCTCCAATTGTAAGTATGTTACGATAGATTGAACACCTCTAACTGACAAGCAATACTCCTTTCCCGATTCCTATAAACTTTGTTATATCAATCCTCCTGATTAACATTCAACACCGCAACAACAAATTCATTCTTAATTCCCTTAATCAAAAATAACGTTTTAATACCTGATATAATTCACCTCACATATTAACATGTTTAAAAAAATGTTTCTTTATGATATCACTATTTATTTGGTAATTAAGTCTAACGTTAAGTGAAAAAAAATGGCCTGTAATAATTTAACGATTTAGATTTACAGATTTTGTAAAACGAATTCATCCGATACAGAACTCTGCCAAACGAACAATGCTTTTTTTTACTGACAACCTTAGTAGAGACCATTCATAACAATTACAAGGGAAAAATACAAAACAAATATGCCAATGCACCCTAGACAATGATCGTGGGACTGCACGGAGCATGCCCCGGAGTTGTTGTTGTCTGCAGACTAGACAACAGAAGGCGAATGCCATAGTGTGAGTAAGAAAAAACTGGCTTTTATTCTAGGATTAATAGCTGCAGCGGTGACAAGACTTTTCCTGTGGCTCAATAAAGCGCTAAAACAACAGTGATGAGTTGAACGCTAAATGTTTCGGAATACAGATCGAAAATAATTTCCGCAACTTTTTGTGCAGATAGGATCTATTAATCGACAATAGACTAAGCTACGATTCGTAGGAATT